ATATATTCTTGAAGAAGTAGCTTTTTTTGTTAAGTTCTTCAAAGAATGTTTTGTTGTTGTTGTTAAATACCAAATACTTCTTTTTCCCTTTAAATTTTGTAAAAGTGGCTGCTCCTGAAAAGCAAGGACTTTCGCTGTCTCAAAAAATAGGAATTTCATAAATGGTGGAATTTTTAAATGACTTTACTTGAAAACTGACTGAAAAAATGTCTTCAAAAAGTATTTTGTTGATGGGAAAAATACATTTTGGTTGAGGAAAAAATATTCTTGGTTGGTGACAATTTTTTTCTTGAAAAATAGATATTTTTAAACTGTTTTTTCTTGAAAAAAAATCTTGAGTGACTTTTTTTGTAAAAATGAGTCTTTAGCTTTGAAAAATATCTTTCTTGGAAAAATTGAGATATTTCCTCGAAACCACTTTGAAGAAAAGTTTCCTTGAATAAAGTTCGAGCTGTAAAATATCCAAGTAAGTCCTTTAGACTGATTTGAACTCTTTTCCCGACAGCAAATGGAGAGAATTTTGAACAAAGCCTCCAAAACACACAAGCATCGAGTGGAGGTATGTCCTCGCACACATTTGACTTTTTGGAATCCTGTTTCTTTTCTTTTTTGATGTGAAACAGCATTGAATTTAACTTTTTGTTTTTCCTGCAGGACTTCAATCGCCACCTGGACAACCTGACAGAACATTACGATATTCCGAAAGTCAGCTGGACTAAATAAAGTTTCCATTTTTGTTTTTTGAAAGTTACATTATGCCACTTTTATGTATGTACAATTAAAAGTTACTCATGGTCACATTTGGTCGTTTCCTGTCGAAGTCTCAAGTGTCTTGTGTGCTGTTTTGAATGAGTAATGAGAATCATGTGATGATCCTGCTTTGGAATTTCATCAAGGATCACACTGGAAAGTTTTACTTTTGTGCAGTAAGTTGGAAAAAAAAACCCTGCAGTAAAAAAAAAAATGTCTTAAAATATGACATTGGAAGTACAGTATAACCTTTTTTTTCAGAAAAAATATTTTGGTGGATGGAAATATATATTTTAAAAAAGGGGTGGGGGGGCAACGTTACTCTAAATTAATTATTGAAGAAATATCACTGTCACACTGAAGCTATATACAAACTAGAACTAAAAATTAAAATTATAAAAAAAAAATATGGATGACAGAAAAACTTGGAAGGAATAATATAATTACTGTATATATAATTCTCCAAAAAGTGCACATTTTCCCACTCCCCAAAACAAAACTTACCGGTATTTGAAAAAAATACTTATTTTCTACTCTGAAAAAAATGCAGCTTCTTCAGTCATGAACGTCTAGTGCATTAATGAGAAAAAAAAATTTAATATACTTCAGTCTTGCTTTTTATTCATACATATCAACCACGGTGTCAACCACAGCTCATTCGTAAACAATTAGCATGGCACATGATGTAAAAATCCAATTTAGCTGTCCATTACTTTTCCGTACTGTGACATTGCAACATTCAAATGCCCTTCAGTACAGCCACGTGATTCCCGTGTATTAAATTAAGCGTGCGTGATAAACTTTGATCAGGTTCACTTGGGTCCCAGCATTTCTCTGGGCTTGACCCAGCGATCGAACTCTTCCTCGGTGAGATAGCCCAGCTCCACGGCCACCTTCTTGAGCGTGGATCCCTTCTTGTGCGCCGTCTTGGCGATGGCAGCCGCCTTGTCGTAGCCGATGTGCGGGTTGAGCGCCGTCACCAGCATAAGCGACTCGTTCATCAGCTTGTCGATCCTCTCCGTGTTGGCCCGGATGCCCAACACGCAGTTGGCGCTGAAGGAGACGGCGGCGTCGCCCAGCAGGCGCGCCGAGTTCAGCACGTTTTTGGCCATCATGGGCTTGAAGACGTTGAGCTCAAAGTGGCCGTTGCTTCCGCCCACTGTCACTGCCACGTGGTTGCCCATCACCTGGGCGGCCACCATGGTCATGGCCTCGCATTGCGTGGGGTTGACCTTACCGGGCATGATGCTGCTTCCCGGCTCGTTCTCGGGCAGGATAAGCTCACCCAGGCCCGAGCGTGGGCCCGAGCCCAAGAAGCGCACGTCGTTGGCGATCTTCATCATGCTCACCGCCACCGTGTTGAGAGCACCGCTCAGCTCTACCAGGGCGTCGTGCGCCGCCAGCGCCTCAAACTTGTTGGGCGCCGTCACGAAGGGCAGCCCGGTCAGGGCGCAGACTGTGGACGCCATTTTCTCGGCAAAGCCCACGCGCGTGTTGAGGCCCGTACCCACGGCCGTGCCACCGGCCGCCAGCTCGTACACCCGCGGCATGGCCGCCTTCACCCGCTCCATGCTGTACTTCACCTGTTGTACATACCCGCTGAACTCTTGGCCCAGCGACAGTGGCACGGCGTCCTGCGTGTGCGTGCGACCAATCTTGATAATGTCCTGGAACTCCTCGGCCTTGGGGGAAAAAAAAACAGGAAGATTCAAGTCGGAATTGTAAAATAATGTTTTTTGTTGTTTTTCAGGGGGGTTGAGAGAAAAAAAACATTTTTATGAAAACAATTTTAGTGGCAAAAAGATGTATTTATTTCAATTAAAAAATCATATTTACATCATAATATATAAAATATAGAGTGTAATGATTTTTTTTCATATTTTAGATGGGGGGAAGGTTCTCATCTGAATCGGTTCTATTTTTTGACTCTTCTCGGTGGCACTGTTGTCTTAAATAAAATCGTTTAAGAAATAGTAAGTCAGTGTACATTCAGCCCAATGTTGAGCAATCTTAGAAGTCTTTTTGTTTTTTTTCACGAATGTTTAATTTTTGAGTGAATTTTTTCATGAAAAAATGTCTCAAAAACATTGGACTTTTTATTTTTAAAAGTTATAACGTGATCATTTTCACTTCTGCACCTGGCAAAACTAAACTAAACAACTCCTTCCAGTTCAGGTCACTAGTAAATCCCTATTTGGGAATGTGCATCTGTTTTTTTTGTATCTTCTAAATCAAAGTTGTAGCTACGTAACACCAATACTGTAAAATAATATGGCCTGTAAAACATTTAAGATTTAAAAGTAAGACAAACACACACCTACCGGTCCATCAGGCTTTCTTTTGTTTTGTCAAACGTGAAAATAAAACCTGTTACGTTCAAAGGTAAAATGTATCATGTTAAAACGGGGAATTTATCTGGTTGAAACATTACATTTATCACATTAAAACGTGAAAGTTTCCACGTTAAAACAAAAAAAAAAAAAGTTCTTACATCAAAACATTTATCATTACATAACATGAAATTAGTCACGTTAAAACATGAAATCGTGTTAAAACGTTAAAGTTATGTTCAAATGTGAAATTGGGAACGGTTTTTTCAAGTGAATTTCAATGTATTTTTATTGAACTTATTTTCCGGTATGGCGGTTTGGTTGTGCATCTGTACTTGTTAATCAGGTGTGGAGTAAGTTCAATAACTGTTTAATTGTCGTGTTGTACGAGCTGACAAACGGGATTGCTATGAGAATTTGCGGAATAAGATTGTGCTGTGCCATCGCGCGCAGTCGCATTGGCGTGTTGGCCTTTAAGTCTGCGGCTTTTCTGGCTCCCCACTGCATTTGTTTTGTTTGCAAACCGACTCTAAAGTACACTTGGGCGTTACAAAGTAGACTATTCCTGTAAAAAAAAAACACTGGAGAAGCACCCACTGTATTGATTTTACGTCAATATTTTAGTTGTTTATGACCACGGGGTCCTCTGGTGGCCACCAGAATGAAATGCGCGGTAAATGCATGAAATCGTGATATACATTTTAAATGATTTACATTCAGTTAATTCCGCATGTATATGGAGAGTAAAATACTGCGGGATTGTGGTTCTCAAAATGTGATACGTGCCTTGTCTGCCAGTGCGTCGTGCAAAGTCTGCAGGCCCGGGATGAGAACCTGGTGGACCTCTGTGGCTGCGGCGATGTGCATGGCCGTGGGGAAGGTGTCGTTGGAGCTTTGGCTCTTGTTGACATGGTCGTTGGGGTGGACCGGATCCTTGGAGCCCAGTTGTCCTCCCAAGATCTCGATAGCTCGGTTGCTTATCACCTCGTTGACGTTCATGTTTGTTTGGGTTCCGGAACCGGTCTGCCACACCACCAGAGGGAAATGATCGTCCAACTTCCCGATAGCCACCTCATCCGCCGCCTGGCAGATAGCGTCCGCGATCTTGGGGTCCAGACCGTAGTCTTTATTGACCTGGGCCGCCGCTTTCTTCAAGATTCCGAAGGCATGGATGATCTGGAGCGGCATTCGCTCGGAAGGTCCCCCGATCTTGAAGTTCATGGTGGATCTGACGGTCTGGGCGCCGTAGTATTTGTCCGACGGGACCTTGAGCTCGCCGAAGGTGTCCCGCTCGATCCTGAAATCCGAACTGGCCATCCTGCACGGGTTTATGACGATTTTACAGTCGGCGCGGACACTCGGCAAAGTCCGCAAGTTGCTGTTTAGCTGCTGGACACGTCGGAAAGAGCGCAACATGGCTGTACATTAGAGGTGAACACAGCTAGGAGGTCACGCTTGAGACACAGACTTTCGCATGGGGGGCTGCCATTGGGCGAATGGGAACACGAGTCCGCGACAGCCAATCGATATTCAGTTGGGGGCGCCGTTTCTGTTGTTTGAAGCCAATCAGAGGATGAGATCCGAATCAATCTGTGAAGTTTTTTATATTCCGGAACGAGTCTGTCCAGTTCAACGCGGAACCGAAACATCATTAAAACAATAAACGTCACTATCGCGAATGTTAAAACGGTTTAAACGTATTTTTAAAATTTTCAAAAGAAAACAAATAAAGCCAAAGATTTGTAGTGATTTAGGCACAGAAGCCAAATAATTATTCGTATCGCACTGCAACAATGATTTTTATTTCTGTATTTAAAAGAAGAAAAGAAAAAAAACCTTGACTTGTATGGGCAAAGACTTGTGTGTACACTATCATTAGCATTTTCCATATATTTAGATACCGTGTTTTATATTTAATATTTTCCATTATTCCATATAGTGAACATTATTATTAATTCTGCATGTCTGCTTTGCCTCGTGTTGTTAATTTCCTTTGTGAATGGATTATCTATCTTTAGCTAGCTCGCTCTCCTTTGGGAAAAAAATTATGTTTCATGTTTGACAATACTACTTTTTTCTTTAATAATTATTCATCTTTTTCACAAAATATACTTTCTCTGGAAGATGTAAAATGTTTGTCCTCCCAGTTTAAAAACTGCCTACCTTTGATTAAGGTCTTCTAAACGTTTTTTTTTTTTTTCATGTTATTCAGGTAGTATGGTCTTGTCGCTGTACATTCACAAAGTGTAGGGCAGTTCTGTACTGACTGGACACACCTGCCCACACTGCTCATCTGGTGACAACACTGGCTGATGCAGAAGCGCTCTCCTTGACGTCTCCAACATCGTTAGTGGCCAACATTTCTGCTCAATGTGAATCAATTTTCATCAGAGAACAACACTGAGGCCCATCACGTAAATAGCCCATTCATATCTATCTATCTATCTATCTATCTATCTATCTATCTATCTATCTATCTATCTATCTATCTATCTATCTATCTATCTATCTATCTATCTATCTATAAATATCGCTTTAATAAGAGCGGGTCTTTCCCCTGAAATCACATTTTCAATTAAAAATATGCATTTACATCCCTAACAGGATATCCTTTATTCTGAAGGTATCAGTAGAAACCTCACGCGGAAGTCGACACTGGTATTTGGGCTTGTGTGTTCTCGCGGTAACGCTTAGCTTCGTACACCATTAGCTTCCCTTAGCTAACGCTGTCGTTTTTCGGCTTTGCGCGTCGACCTGGCCAACGCAAACCGGGAGAGACACGCCGAAGGCCCATCGGCTGTTATTCCTACTTTTGTCACCTGGCCGCCGAAGGGAGCGGGACCATGCCGCACAACTTCCAGCCCGGAGACCTGGTCTTCGCTAAAATGAAGGGCTACCCCCATTGGCCAGCCAGGGTAAGGAGTAAGCTAACACTGGCGGTAGGAGAAGGAGGCGGAGGGGGAGTGGAGGCGAATACATCCTTGCAGCCGTGCGACCTGGACACGCATAGAATGTCACCATTATCGAGCTTTACATTTTCCACTTGGCCTCTCTGTGGGCATGCACGGCAAGTCCGGTTTGCATGCGAAGATATCGGCCTCGTCTCCATACATTACGAGCGAAGCGAACGTTATTTTCCTTCGGACTGACAAACGACGCAACTGTTCTGCCCCAAACTCCTCGTCACCTCAACGCTAAAATTATTGACATCGGCTGCAGTGAACTAGCCAAGCATATGATGTTGATATTGGGATGGTTGATGCTGTAATTTTCTTTTCATTCTTTAGATTGAAGACGTGGCTGATGGTGCAGTGAAGCCCCCACCAAATAAAATTCCAATTTTTTTCTTTGGTACTCATGAAACGTAAGTACGGCACTGTTTTGCAAAAAATACCGATACCTGTAGATTAAATATGCCACTGTCCAATGTGACACTTTACATTTGTGGCAGTTACACCAATGACAGGTCTGTTTGTGTTGTTTTGAAGTTATTTATCGGTCGTTTTCTTCCAATACATTGATTTTCATACAATCACTGTTTTGCGATATTGGCGGTATCTGTGGCACAGTGAAGCTTCTACTTGGTAACATTCCAATTTTCATGTTTGGGACTCATGAGATTTAAGTTTGTGACAGGTTTAGCAGATATAAATGTCCTTTGTATGCTCAAAAAAATGGCAGCCGTTCCGTTTTGATAGTAGTGCATTTAATTTTAATGTCATTCATATGTTCTTCTCTAGGACTCCCAAAATGATTGGACAGAACTGTTTTGCATAAAATACAGATATTTGTGTCACTACTGTCCAATGCTAGAAGTAATTATTATCCCATGCGCTGCTTAACCGTTATCATGCACGTTTTTCTTCATATGCATTGTTTACGAGGAAAGCGGTATATTGTTATACTGTCTGTATCAGTGGATTAACAACCTGGCCACTTTAGACAGTTCAGTAAAAATTTCCTGAGAGACAAACAAAATGAAAGTACTCTACTTACTGTTTTCACACATGTTCCATATGTGTAGGAACTATTGAAACTATTGCATATCACATTGATGGTAGTTGCAAGGTGGACAGATCAAGCTCTCACCATCGGGAAAAAAAGAACGTATTAATTGTAATGACAGTAAAAAAAAAAAAATCTGCTTAACAGAAAACGTTGTTGAACTGTGATGTAGCATAGGATTACTTTATCATCATTGCAGTTTATGATTACATCCTGCAGAACCAAAATTTCTGACTGTCCGCGGTGGTTTTACATAAAGTAATTTTCTTTTAATTAGTTGAATTTTTTATTACATTGCCGTTGTGCAGGGCATTTCTGGCAGCCAAGGACCTTTTTGCCTATGAAAAGTACAGCGATCGCTATGGAAAGTCCAACAAAAGGAAAGGCTTCAATGAAGGCTTATGGGAGATCCAGAACAATCCACATGCCTCCTACAGTGCTCCACCTGTGGTAAGCCGCACCTACTACCCTCTCTCCAGAGGGTACGCTACGTAGAAGAACCAAGCTCTGAAGCGAATGGCAAAAAAGTGAGAGTAATTGACAATCCCCCTTAAAAAATAATAATAATAATTGTCTATAATTTAACCATACCACAAACTATGATCCCCAAACACTTAAATATAATTTCAAATTCATCTTAGATTATCCTTTCAAAATAAGTGGCTTGCAGAAGATTCCATTTGGGGAAAATAAATGCACTGCAAGCGTGGGTGTATTTTGCCTTTGCAATCAGTATAACTAGCAATTGTCAAGGAATAGCAAGACTTTCATTGTTTTGTTAGCTTGAGGTTTTTGTAGCCACTCAACAGAGCGGAAACATACACATGCGGTGAAGAGTCTGTCACATCTGCTAACAAGCCAGGCTAAACTTAGCTATTAGCTACTTGATTTATCCAAAAGGGTAATTCACATAGGTGAGATTCAATTTCCATAAGCCAGTCGAGATATATCACTTCAATATACTGAGGATAGGTTGCACAAGAAAAACGCAGAAAGGTGAATTTGTGAGTAGAGAGAGCTGAAGTAGGATGGGGGTTAACTATGATTACATTTTAGGTTTCACAACGTTGCTGACTTGTTTTTTTGTTTTTTGTTTTGTTTTTTTTTGTCCTTAGCCCGCCAGCTCATCCGACAGCGAGGGCAACAATGCTGGCGGAGGAAGCGACGAAGACGAGGACGAAGATGAAGAAGCTCCCGTGCCCAGGAAGGCGGAGTCGGCAAGCGAGGCGGATTCTGATTCCGCCAGTCAAGATAGAGGAAGGGGACGAGGAGGAGGAGGGGGGAAGAGGAAGCCGCCGGCATCTAAAGTACACATCTTCATAATAAATTAATTTATTTATTAAACGTTCTGAGTTTTCTTGACTGTAAGTAAGTACATTAAAATAATTGATTTGCAATTTGCTTTGGCCCATTGCGTTGGTGTCCCCTCTTAGCGTCCGCCTCCCCCAAAAAAGACTCGACGCTCATCCAGCGACAGAGACGAAGAAAGCGGATCCCTGTCAGAGTCAGAAGCCACCCCTTCGGAGTCGGAGTCTGGCAAGAACAGTGACCAGGTCATTAGACATAAACACACTTAAGAAAAAAATTAAAGAAACGATTATCGTGTCATGCCATGTTTCGTGTTTTTCAGGATTTTACTCCGGAGAAGAAACCAGTTGGACGAGGTGGAAAGAAAGCAGCAACAGCAGGCAGAGGGAAAAAAAAAGTAGATGATAACCCTTTATTCCAATTTTTTCCCCCTCATATTTTTTACCCCTGATAGCACCTATCAATCATGAATATAAAACACATAAACGCAACATTTTTTTGGACTGTATTTCAGTGAACAGTTGGGGGGGGAAAATCATGTTTTTGTTTTTTTTTTAAAGTATGTATCCATCCATTTTTTTATCGCGCTTGTCCTCATTAGGCTCGCAGGTGTGCTGCAGCCGATCCTACCTGAGTTTGGGTGAAAGATGATGTGCAACCTGGACTGTTTACCATCCTATCACAGGGCACATATGGACAATCAGTCATTCACATTCACACCCGTGTACAATTTGGTCTTCAATGAAACATATTTTGGGGGTGTGGGAGATAGCCAGAGCACCCGGAGAAAACCCACGCAAGCATGGGGGCGTACATACTAAGTCTAAAAGGCAGGACCCACATTGGAAAACGCAAACCTCGGAACTGTGTGGCAAACATACTAACCAATCATCCAATGTGCTGCCTGCCCATCTAAATATTTCAATTCATAAAAATGATTCTAATTAGAGGCTTGGTTGTTTTTTTCTGAATTAATTATAAACCCAGAGCGTAATAAAATACCTTTTTCTGGACCCTTGCAGAAAGATTCATCCAACTCAGATTCAGACTCAGAATCGAGATCTGAGAAGAAAGCGGCAGACAGTGACTCGGAGGATGAAAAGCCCCGACCGGCTGTGTCCGGTTCCGAGTCTCAATCCGGCTCTAAGTCTGACTCGGAATCCGATCCTCCTCCACGGAAGGCTCCGCCAGCACGCAAAAAAGCTGCGGGCAAGTTTGAAAGTTTGATTCTGGTCACTGTCCTTTTTTTTCCCCTCCCCTTTTACACTCGCTTCCGATATTGCCGTCCACAGAGAAACCAGCACCAAAGCCTCGTGCACGGAAACCCAAAGCTCCGCCTCCGAAGCGGGCAGCATCATCGTCATCAGACAGCGACAGGTCAGACTTCTTCCCGAATCATATGCGCAGACGTTCTAAATCTCCGTAAGCGTCAGGCCCTGTATCCCTACAGCGACAGCGAGCCGGACCGTATCAGCGAATGGAAGAAACGAGACGAGGAGCGACGGAGAGAACTGGAGGAGCGGCGGAAAAGGGAGGAGGCGGAGGAGCTTCGCCGGTTACGGGAGCGCGAAAAGGAGGAGGAGGAGAAGCGGAAAAGAGAGAAGGAGATGAAAAAGGACAGCGAGAGCAGCAGCTCGGATGAAGGCGTAGACGATCACCCGCTGAAGAGGTCCAAGAAACCCCCTCCGCCCCCAATTCCGGCGCCATCTGACTCCGACTCTCCGCCACCCGCAGAGGTAAAAGGAGCCCCGATTGTTCGGGCGCACTCACACGAGGACGGCGATTCCCAAAATTGATTGAGACGAGTCACAGTTGACATGAGAAAAATCTCACGGCGCGCCATCGTCGGTTTCATTTGTTTCCTGACCGCACCCTTCAGTCAAAACACGTGTGGTTCTATTAATTATCCATCCATCCATTTTCTGATCCGCTTTATCCTCACAAGGGTAACGGGGTGCTGGAGCCTATCCCAGCTGTCTTCGGGCAGAAGGCGGGGGACACCCTGAACCGGTTGCCAGCCAATCGCAGGGCATACAAAGACAAACAACCAATTTAGAGTGTTCAATTAGCCTGCCATGTTTTTTGCAATGTGGGAGGAAACCGGAGTACCCGGAGAAAACCCACGCAGGCACGGGGGAACATGCAAACTCTACACAGGAAGCCCGGAGCTGGAATCGAACCCGGTACCTCTGCACTGTGAGGTCGACGCGCATAAACGTATCAGGGATCACTCTCATATAATGATCACTTCAACTGTTCACATTAGAAGTAAACAATTTATTGTTGGACTCAGTGAAAACATGAACAAATTCACTGGCCTGTGTTTATTTCTAAAACACCCATTGGTAGGACCTGGCTCATCTTTGCTCCTTGCTTACCTTGACTACCACCACCCACATTCCTCCTTCCCCAGTTGTCTTCCCAAAGTCCGTACTACTTTTGCTCGATTCTGCGTTTCAATTTTCTGCCCTAAACGACTGGAAGACTCTCCAACAAATAATTAAAATTCACCTAATTCATCCCAATGTCAGTGTTTAAAAAGTTGGCGAGGGATGCTGGACAGAATTGCTCCACCTGTTTTTGTCGTATTCTAAACTGCAATGTATGTAACGATGTCACATTGTGCAGTCCGTCGTGTTTGCATTTGCCTTCGGTTTGCATTGTTTAAGGCAAGGCATGGAAAGGCAGCTTTATTTGTGTCGTGCATTTCACGCAAGGTCACTCAATGTGCTTCAGGTAGTTGCAAAACCTGTAAAGCCAAATTACAACATTTAAAGGCAAAAGAACATAAGATATATTTTTTATAAAACAAGAATTTAAGACACTCAAAATCAAAGTAGAAAAATAAAACAGAGTTTACGAAATTTACTCAAAGAACATGCAAAGTAAGAGTATAAATTTGGAAAAACTGATGAAATAGAAATGCTTTAAAAGTGCTGAATCATCATTATTGACTCTGCTACCTGCAGCCTTGTTGGCATTGCAAATGAGAATCTGTTCTCGATTCTTTTGCTTGGATAAATAACGGCTAAATGAATCAACATTGCGAATGACACAATGGAAAAACAGAGGTGCTCGAAATAATCCACAGTCATCCTTGAACAATCACTGATGAATTTTCCGCTGTTTGCTTGTATCCGTCAAAGGCGAAGAAACCAGCCAAAAAGTCGGACAACCAAAACAAAGGCCGACTAAAGAAGGCAAAGGAGAGAAAGGAGAAAGAGCTCAAAGAGAAGAAAGCCAAACGGTCTGAGGAGAAGTCCAGAGCCAGGTGAGCCCCCCCCCACCTTTTGACAGGACAACTCACGTGCACTCCAGCGATACTACTCCATGAATGAATGAATGAGTGTCTTTTGTCTCCTTGAGGTTCAAGCCCGAAAAATCGAAACACAAACCAGAGAGGCCTCCACAGAAGAAAGTAGAAAAGAAAAAGGGTAAGGAATGTCTCTTGCTGGGTGGCAATCAGGCAGCACACGGCGAAGGGAAATTTCCTGTGGAATGCTGGAATTGGAAAACGAATCTAAATGCTCGTTCTGTGCATCCCATGTCAGAACCGTCACCGGAGGAAAAACTTCAGAAACTCCACACAGACATCAAGTTTGCCCTCAAAGTCGACAACCCTGTAAGTGGCCTCCCTGTAACGGGTCCCGATTCATTATTTGTGATTTATTACAATGAGAATTATTTGGCAGTCAGTCGCCAATTTCCCACTCACCTAGTGACCATTTTTCAAAAAAAAAAAAAAGGTGAGGTCTTGTCCAGGGAAGCCAAGACAAACAAGTATTATAAAAAATTATGAGATTTATTCGAGAAAGGAAAAAAAAAAAAAACATGGAGCGACACCGTTCACAGATCTGTTAAGGGAGCCTTCTCCGCCCCTGCCCCCCCTGCGTCTTGCGCTGTCATTTTATCTTATTTTCTTCTATTTGGGAGGGGCGAAGGTCAGCACAATCAGCATTTTGAGCAGCTACACAGAACGCAGACTAGTGCATGAACAGGCACCTTTGCTTATCTGCAAAATAACTGGTCAGCATTCAAAGGTACGAACAGTTACTTATGTTTTGCCCTGTTAGATGTCAAATTCCCATTACAATTCCCCTCTTTTGATCCTAAGGATCAACCAGGAGGGAAAAAAACAAAACAGAAACAAAGGCACAATCCAATATGCGAAGAGAGAGGTTCCCAAAATGTGCATCCGACTGAAGAGACATGAATCCGTGCGAAGAAACAGACAACGTGAGCAGAGTCGTTTTCACGTTGTTTTGCACCTCACAAAAGACGAGTCCAGTGGAAGACAATCGCAGAGTCAGTTCCGCTCGACATTGCCAAAGGCGTGGTGCGGCTGAACGTGACTGAATTAGACAATCGCGAACAAATTGCACTTGGCGATTGAACACGTCAATCAAGTGGGTGGATCATTTGCAGTGTCTCGCATGCTGAAAAAGTGTGGGCACCCCGGGTGGAAGTGAATTTTGTTGCCCTGTGCGCCTGTGCACGTGCGATGGCAATGACAATTTGATCAATTGTCTGTGTGTGCCATGCAGGACATCGAGCGGTGTCTACAAGCCCTGGAAGAGCTGGAAGGTGTGCCCGTCACCAGCCAGATCCTCCACAAGAACGCCGACGTCATTGCCACGCTGAAAAAGGTGCGTCCCCGCCTCCGACTGTGACCCTTACGATAGAAATTCATCTGCAGGGTCCTCTGTGTGTGTGTGTGTGTGTGTGTGTGTGTGTGTGTGTGTGTGTGTGTGTGTGTGTGTGTGTGTGTGTGTGTGTGTGTGTGTGTGTGTGTATTTTGCCGCCTCCGGTGTTCTCCAATGCCTGTATCCCTCTTTGCAGATTCGGCGGTATAAAGCCAGCTCTGCCGTCATGGAGAAGGCCAGTGAGGTGTACAATAAGTTAAAACTTCGCTTTGTCGGCAAAGCAGAAACGGCAGCTAAACCCAAAGCAGAGAAGGAAGGAGAGGACAATGCGAAGGAGACACAAGACATAGGTAATAAATAAATGAATGATCCGGGTTATGTGCAATTTGACAGCACGAAGGCGTGTACGGGCGCCCCGGTGGGCGACTGGTTAGCGCGTCGGCCTCAGCGGTGCAGTGTTCGATTCCGGCTGCCGCCTCCCAGTGTGGAGTTTGGATGTTCTCCCCGTGTCTGCGTGGGTTTTCTCCGGGTACTCCGGTTTCCTCCCACATTCCAAAAACATGCGTGGCAGGTTAACGGAACACTCTAAATTGTCCCTAGGTGTGAGCGCGGATGGTTGTTTGTCTATGTGTGCCCTGCGATTGGCTGGCAACCAGTTCAGGGTGTGCTCCGCCTACTGCCCAAAGACACTTGGGATAGGCTCCAGCACGCCCTGCGACCCCTGTGAGGATAAAACGGATCAGAAAATGGATGGATGGAGGCATGCACAGGGACGCGATAAAAATAAAAAGCTTTGTCTCCCCAGACACCACTGCTGTGAACGGAGAGTCGCGAGAGAAAAAAGACGAAGACGGAGAGGAAAAAACTGCCGAAGCTGACAGCAACGACCACGCCGATTCAAGTCCAATCAGGTGAATGTGATGCACTTGTTTTGGTTTTTGAATTTATTTGTCAGGGATTCAGGGTAAATTCTCAAGCAGGAGTTGCTCGGAATTCTCAGAAATGCTTGAGTAGAAAAGGGGGGAAAAAAATCTATACACGCATTGTTAGTGAGAAAAAGGTTTCCCTTGTAAAAATAGGACTTTACACTTGTAAGACCGCCACTCATTTTCTCCCCAAAATTGCAGTTTTAAGGGTACATTTTCCACAAACATGACTATGCTCATAGGATTACTGCTTTTTTTTTTTCCATTGGAAAAATGTGATTTTATTCTTGAAAGAACTATATTTTGAAAATAAAAAACTTTATTCTCATTTTCTTGGAAAAGTATGAATATTCTGGAAAGATTATGACCTTTTTTCTGACAAAATATGACCTTAGTACCCTGATTACTTTTTTAAATCGAGCAATTTATTCTCCTAGATCAGGGGTCCCCAACCGCCGGTCCGCGGACCGGTACCGGTCCGCAGGGCATTTGGTACCGGGCCGCACAGAAAGAACTTGCCTTATTTCCGTTTTATTTATTTCGGAATACGAAATGTGTTTTATTTTGAAAAATTACCGGATTCTCTGTTACATCCGTCTGTGTCACGCTTGACTCACGTCAAGGCACACTTCTCGGTCACCTGACGATGACGCTCATAAACAAAACGCTGAAGCCCGCAAAATGTGTAAAAAAGCTGCTTGGAGATCGCAAATGACGGCGGCCTTAAAAGTACGTTCGAAACAACTGGATCAAAGTTATGGCTGAATACTCTGAGATCGCCACAATAGCACTGTGGCTATTTCCGACATCCTACCTGTGTGAGGTGGGGAGTTTCTGCAGCAACAGCGACTAAAACAAAATTACGAAGTAGACTGGACATAAACCACACACTTGAGGTGTCATTGTCTCCTATTACCCCGAGATGGGACTGTCTGATTGCAGAAAATCAAGCTCGGGGCTGTGGTGAGTCGTCATTTTCATGCACTTTGAATTTGCGTTGTATCGTATTTTGAAGGCATTAAACATTACCAGAGCGATAAGAGTGTTGCGACCAGATTAGACGCTCCTTGTGTTTATTATTATATTTCGAAAACACCACAGTTTTCATGCAGCTCATACCATATTATTTTGTTGTATTAATTCCGCCACACCTTAAATGCCGGTCCCTGAAAATATTGTCTGACTTAAACCGGTCCGTGGGGCAAAAAAGGTTGGGGACCCCTGTCCTAGATCATTTCTCCCTCCAAAAATACAAAAGATTTCTACTTTTTTTTTCAACTTTATTCTTCTAAAATTACTTAATTCTCCCCCCGATCCCCTCACCCCCAAAAAATATTGGAATATTGTAAGATATCAATATGAATATTTCCAGAAGATGACTACTTTTTCATATATTAATACAACAATCTTGTTAGATCACCAATTTGTTGTTCAAAATCTTTCGTCACGTAATTTCTGTGACATGATCAAAAAGGTGTTTTAAAACTAGAGTAATATTGCAAAAATAGTTGTAGAGTTAGGCTAATAAAGCTGAGAAATAACAGGAGATAAACCATAAAATTTGGAAGGAAAAAATGTAGCAAACTTAATTACCGAAACAAAACTGAATTGCAATCATGATTCCGTTGAATACTTTGTGCACAGGCGGAGCCCGGATAGCCCGCAGCAGACTGACGAATACACCCAAGCAAACAACAACAACAACAACAACATTTCTGCAGAGATGGAAGCATCCCCTGCTGAAAGTTAAACAAAAGATGCCCTCCAAACAACTACAGCAGTGGACCAAGCGCAAAAGATGGAAGACAACACTGAGACACAATCGACATCGCTCGCTCTACGTCGGTGTCCTTGCTGCGGACATTTTCAACTTTTCACACTCTCAGTAGATTATTTTGTATTTTATTTTTTGTCCATTTTGTCAGTGCAGAAAGGAAATCTTAATAATGTGATAGTTTATGCTGCACGTGTCACATCTTTAAGTTGCAAAAATGTCTTCTTCTTTCATGACTTTTTTTTTTTTTTTATAAAGCTGCTTGTCATACCGTACACATATAGGTTTAATACGTGCACTTGTGAACTCAATTTGGGCTGACAAAGGTATGCTTTATGAATTTTGAAACTTGATGAATTTTTCACCTAGATGCCCGGATGTCTGTCGGCTTCCTTCCGTATTTTTTTGTGTTTGTTTTTAATAATATATAAATGCTACAAAAACATCACAAAGAGCACCCGTTGTTTGTATTTGACATTTTGAGAGTGGTGAACTTGTCTTTAAGTTTGTGTTTTTTTTTTTTTTTAATGTGTAAGGCAATGAGTTAACAGGTCCATTGACTTTTTATAGCTTTGTTTTCACATATTTGCAAAAACAAAAAAAAAAAGGGTCTTACACACACGCATTGTTCCGCTGTAATGTTTGCTTCTGATAAATTTGCGTGTTGATGTAATAATTGCGCTCCAAAAAGTGTGGAGATCTCATGTAGCTGCAGACTTCAATGAAATCCCTCAAGAATAAACAGTACAAACGGCAGGTGGTGAACAGTAGCATTTTATCCTTTTCTTAGTCGAGACTGTAATAAAAAGCCTCTTGTGTGAATTTGCATATTGCATAGTTATTTGCCCATGTTAACAATGGAAATGCAAATATGTTCTGTTCCAAACTAAAAATAAAAAAATGACTTGAATCCAAAGTTAAAAATTAGGTGTGGCCTTGGGGCCACAATTAGCTGGTTTAGTTCTTTAATTTGTACGAAAACAAAATTATTCAGTACTGCCAAATGCAATATATAAGTAATATTATTCAAATAAAAGCTTTTACATGTACATTTAGTAAAGAGGAAAGGTATATTAGTAAAATTAACAATATGACACAGATAAAAATATTAATTGGTAAATAATTCAAGTTAAATTCTAAATAAAACTGAATATAGTGACATTGTCTATCATACGCTAGGTAAACAACGATTATCTTATTAAAACGTTTTTAAAGAAAACGAAATACATAAAGTGACCATGATTTCTGTTACTAAAATTTACAAAAAAAACATTTACGGTAATCAAATAAGCATTTCTTAAAATGTCATTCAATAACTGGTATATTGACATGAATACTGGAAAATAAATTAGGAATAAAATTAATGAGCATTTTTATGAAAGCAAACACATTAAATAAAACAATAATTTAATATTTCTGCTCAAAATAATTGGTTGATTATAATTCAATGAAATATAAAATAACCACAAAAATTAGCGTGATTTATTAATGGTAAAAGAAAATTATTTCATATGTAGTAAAATAATACAATAAATAAATGGCATATTCATTTTATTTTTGTATTTTATTACTTTATAATCTTAATAACTTATTCAAATAAAACAATTACATATTTGTCCCCTACCTTTGGTCTGTCGTGCTTAAAAAAAAATAACAAAAAAAAAAATCAAACGCGGCTCCCTTGAACACAAAAGTTTGCCCACCTGTGCACGAGATCGATTTTGTTTTGTGTGTGTGCGTAGACCTTTAATTCCCACATCTCGCATAATACTCCAGTCAGCTGACTTGCAGACGCCATTTTGTCAGCCTTTTCCTCCATTGAGCCACTGCCAGCCAGGCGTCTGTGCGCACGCAGAAACCCAGGACGCTGCGTCTCTCTCCGGCCTTCCAGCAACTCCCTCGCCCCCCTCCCCAACCCGGGACTCACGGAAACAACCCCGGCGGCAGCGGCAGCAGCAGCAGCAGCAACAACCCCCGGGTGGATGAGATACCCTCTCTAGGCTCGGTCGACACCCACCGGTACCAGTGACACCGCCGTCAAGAACCGAGCATGGCTTTGAAGATTGTCAAAGGGAGCATCGATCGGATGTTCGATAAAAACCTTCAAGATTTAGTACGTGGCATCAGGAACCACAAGGATGATGAGGTAACAGAAACGAAACAAAAAAAAAAAACGTTACCCGCGTTACAACCTCACGTCACACCCCCTCACCTTCCCTGCGATAATGACCGTTACGTTTGGCGACTCGTGTCAGCTGAATTAACATCAAAAAGCAGCCTGGCTAAAATGCTAGCGTCACCGCTAACTGTCATATTAGCCTCTTAGCTCCCTCATTCACCAAACAAGAGCTTCTGCTTCTAGCAGAATATTTGTTGCATAAGAATAGGAATATTTCGCAACCCGAAACGTTTATCCTCAGGGCGCTCGTTTTAACAAAACAAAAAAAAAACAAATCAAATTAAGGCTTAATGATTGGAGTGGTAAAGTTAGCTAGCTATTGTACAGCTAGCTCCAAGAAGGATGATTATGGTTAGTTAATAGGAATAATAGCATTCGTATCCTGTTTTGTTTTGGTCTTATACTGACTAATTTTAACCATCCCAGTATGTGCAGTATGTAGCACAAGAAAAAAAAAAAGAGTCGTGTGGACGAAAAGGACCCTCAATCAGTGTTTCAACATGAGCCTAGTCACAGATTAGGAAGTGTCTCACTGTACACCACCCAATAAAAACATCACAAAAAGTGGATATGGTTATCTTGCTGAAATAATGGCTGATGACATTTTTGTAATATGATTTTTCTTATCTTTCGTCACCTCATCATCTGTCCACCTTTGCTAAAATTGCCTACATTCTCAGTTGAACAGATACACCATATTATATCATTGTTAATTATTAATGTAATGTGTTCAGTATTTTTATTTTATTTTTTTTACAGGTGACTTATTCACCCTATGCAGTCGGGTAAATTGTAACATTTTGCTCCTAAAATTTTACATAGTGCAAGTAATTTTTCACCTTCTCGCACGTGTGTGACAAGCAAATTTGCGAGGGGGTTTCTTCCTTTAGGGCTTGAATGACTTGAGATTTTTCAAGCACAGTGCAGCGGTCACCAACCCTTTTTTTATACCATGCAGTGCTTTCACATGAAGACAAAAAGAAAAAAAAATAGGTAGCACGTTACGCAGTTATTAAGATTGTGATGGTAAGTCCAAAATTTCTTGGGCTAACGATTTGAATGACTTTATTCCCTCATCCAATAAAAAATTAATTGACAAAGGAAGCAGTATCATGAACAGAATCAGAATCGCAACATTTCTTGTCACTCATCAATGAACGCAGTGGTGTGGGTAATGACATCACCAAGCGCCAATATCTTTCACCGACATGTCGACAACCTAGCTGAACAGTAATATAACATTGTCAGAAGCTAATGCTGGAAAGACTGGCGTTGACAAGACTAGCCTACTCGAATATCAACAAGAATATCTACTATTTGCCTGTCACCTAGGCTGTGTTTGACCTTGTCGATTTGGACTCTTGACAAACTCTCATCCAAGGTTGTGTACATACACATACAGTTTTGGGTCAGGTGTGAAATTTTGAGTGTTTTCAGAATCTCACAAGAGCAGCTCGAAAATGTCCTCGTTTGTCTGAAGAGAAGTGGCTATCGTTGCTGTGTTTTGTGTCAGCTCACCAGCGCTTGACGTTGCGATCCGGCCGGTGCTCATCTGTTTTGTTTTATATTTTTTTTGTCAATGGTAACCCAACCTTGCAGGGTCCAGATAAGGTGATGGTTGCCCAGCCAACAGATTGTTAAATTATTAATGCTTGCGTATACTGTATGTGTGAAGGCATCTCAAAGTTCCTCCGATAGTCGGGCACAGGTGTCACACTGCTCCTCAAGGGTCACTATCCTGCATGTTTTAGATGTTTCCCCCCTCCAAAAGACCTGATTCAACTGATCAGCTCTTCAGCGAGCCTGATAATGATCCCGATCGTTTGAATCAGGATTGTATCACTTGAGGACTGAGACAGCTGTGTAGTCGGACAACCTCCAAAATCAACATTCGAGGACACCAATTCATTTTACAACAATGCTTCTTGGGGAAAAATGTCCCCTATAATCAAAACATGTTATGTAAACACAATTTTAATTGTGCAGTATTAGGGGAATACACGAAAATGAGTACGCCAGAGGTATTAGCTGTGTGTGTATAGCTTACAACTTTTTTTGCTATGTTCATTCATTCCCGTCATACATTTTTAGGACAATTGAAAGTCATTTTTCGTTTGGTCAAGTGTGACAGCTATTTCACTGATTTCAATTGGTTCTGAATGGACTATTATAGCGGTGGGGGACGTGGAAGCATGGTGTAGGTCTGCTGATAGTTTTGTCGGTGTGTGTGTGTGTGTGTGTGTGTGTGTGTGTGTGTGTGTGTGTGTGTGTGTGTGTGTGTTGAAACAACACGCACTCACATACACGCCTTCCCCTGTCACTGTGCTGTCTCATGACTGCACACACATGACCAGCACCCACTCTCACTCTCTTCGGAGCTTTGAGTATTTGTTATTGGCTGCTCTCGCTTGGGCTTCTCCCACCGAATGTAGATGGAATGTTGGGCCAGTGGTGTCACTTTTTAATTGCGAGGCTCCGGCTAGTGCGTTTCCTTGCTGTATTTATTTAAGTGAATGTGGGGGAGGTGGTGAATAGCCAATCCGCTGCAATTACTGTTTTGGTCGAGGCACACTTATACTTTTTTGTTTGTTTTAGGCAAAAAAAACAAATCAAAATGTGGAAATGCTTGCTTTTTGTTGGATATTGATGTACAGTATTAAATAGGCATGAGCCAGTAACAGATTCTTATGACATGTTAACTGTGAGAATATCACCATCTTGAAATTGCAGCTCTAAAATGTATGACTTTGAAATATTTGGGTATTCAACTTTTTCTCCATTCAATCTGCTCCGAAATGGAAAAAAATGGTAGCTACTTCTCTGCTCTTCTCCGTTTTGTGACGTAATGTCGGAAACGAACTGATGCTAGCATGCTAGTTTTGCTTCCTATTGAGTCTAAAGTTTCTCTATTTTCAGTTTATGGTTTTTGTTTGATTTATTTCCGCAACTATAGACACGGCAACTCTCATAGCTGGTTGTGAATGTTCATTTCAAGACAGTTTTATAGTAATATTTGAATGTTACCTTGAATTAATTGTCAAAGAGTGATGGGTAGCACTCCGGTAAATGGCCAAAAAATATATATATAAATACAGTACCTGTTTTAATGAAAAACAGCATGTTGGAATATACAGTATTTGTTTTAATTGATGTATCAGTATTTGTGTCAACGTGTTAGTAGTGTAAAACGCACAAAGAATCAAATAAAGCCCTCTCTCCAACAAATATCTTATTTTAATCCACACCAGTTGCGTTTGCTGTTCCAAATCTCAAATCGATTTAACCTTTCCAATTGTCAGCCCTCGCCATTTCCCGAACAAATCAGGAAGAAAAAAATTCACTCTCAAGACACCCCACACAATGATATAATCTCTCAGGATCATTCTTTAGAAACCCTGCTAATCTGGTTTTTGCTGATGATCAGGTGCAAAAAAAAAAAAAAAAAAGTGAATGTGGTTCAATAAATACGTTATGTATACCTGCTTTAGAGGACAAATTAAACATTAAAATTGTGGTCTGATTTGCTCTCGTTAGCCCCGTGGCAAAAACTACATCATTCCACCTAATCTGATCTGGTGTCTGCTTTTCCCGCCTGCCCTTTTGGTCTGCCCTCAGGCCAAGTACATCTCCACTTGCATTGATGAGATCAAACAGGAGCTCAAGCAGGACAACATCGCCGTCAAAGCCAATGCCGTTTGCAAGCTCACCTACGTAAGTATACTTTGGTGAAGTAGTCACGAGTCTGTAATTGACTTGAAAATGTATTTTTCTGACTGCTTCACTTTCACCATTACAACCGTGATTGACGTGATTTGAGATCCTAGCTGTTTAAGATGTTTGAGTGAAAGTGAGTGAGCCGTTGGGATGTCAGGAAGGAGTTTTGTGAACCAAAGCAAAGTTGCTTTGGGAAAAAAAAATTGTTGGTGAACTGAGATTCTCCAAAGAGGTTCCACCTTCATTTGTGCTGGTTTTTTTTTTCTTTTCACTTGTGATGTGGAGACCCTGAAGCTCTAGTTTTGATTTATTTCCTCAATTTTACAACTGAAATTACCAAGTGATTTTTTTTTCAAGGTTAATTGGCGGAATAAAAGATTGCATTATTTTGAGAACATTTAAATAGCTTTCATTACAGAAGTCTACGCAAATGAGTAAAGTTGTCTTTTACTGTTGTGCGTTTTTTTGCTCATGAGTTTTTCATGACAGTGTTTGTTTACATGGTACAATCCATTAGATGAAATTTAGCTTTTAAAAAAAAAATAGAATGAAAGTAGTACATTTTTGTTGGTTCTTTTTGGTTCTTGATATTCGTGTTATTTAAATGGGTTCCTTCCATAAGGTGTCCCTGAAGTACATAAATTTGAGGTAATATTAGACATGTATTTTCATGTGACAAACAAACAGCAAAGAAAAAAGTATCTCGTAAATCAAGCTCAGCTAAATTTTGCTATTTTTAATTAGATTTGTTCCTGCTTAGATTATGATTATGTTGGGCAAAGTGCGTGTGTGTGTGTTTTATTTCATGCAACATCGACCGTGGACGTTCCCCCCTGTCATATTAGATATGAATAATGAAACCTCCCTTCTCTGCGAAACAGCTTCAGATGCTGGGCTATGACGTCAGCTGGGCCGCATTCAACATCGTCGAAGTCATGAGCTCCTCCAAGTTCACTTACAAGGTAAAAAGCGGCGGCGTGTCTGTTTGCGATGATCGCCCCTCGTACTGACGAGTCGGTGAAGCGCGGCAGCGCAACGTCCTAAGTGCTATTCTGCTCCCTGCGCAGAGGATCGGCTACTTGGCAGCCTCGCAATGCTTTCACGAGAGCACTGATGTCATCATGCTAACCACGAATCAGATTCGAAAGGTAAGCGGCCTGCGCTGCTTTCGTGCTTGCCTCGTCGTCACTGCGCAATGCCGTGTGCCCACAGCGGGGGTTGTCAAAACGTTTGGGGTCGTGGTTCCCCTTCCAGGGGAACATTTTGTACTTTTACTTTGCATATTTTCTGACAGTGTGTACCAATACTTAACATTGTCATTCCTTCTGGCACTCGTGATGACAATGTGTTTTTGTTTGATCACGTCTTGTTCAAATACCCAAACAATTTTGAGATTGACAGCGCTCACTCAATTTTGACACGATTGAGTAACAGCAGGTCCTCGCAACACCAATAGAATAAATCCTATTGCACAAAACACTGCTTGCGTAAATATAAATAAACGCGAGCAAATGTTAATGACACAAAATAACGTTGAAAAACAAATGACAATCAAACTGCCACAGATGCATGGAGATGCTTTTGTCACAATTTCATGAAATGAAATGAATTCAACATAGAAAAAGTATCAGATATGTCAGATTTATGTGATGCATCACTACCATGTCAGATCTTCTAACAGTACCGGTTAAGTACCTCTACGTTTGTTTTATTAGTGTACTGGATCTTTTTATTTCGGTATGCACTTCATTAAAATGATACAATGTAATCATCAATTGCAAATTAGCTTGAAGACGCCCAAGTTGGATCTTGCGGATGTCTAATTTGACAATCACCGATCAACAATATTGCTCTTGTCCACGCAGGACCTCAGCAGTCCCAATCAGTACGACACAGGCGTTGCCCTCACAGGCCTGTCTTGCTTCGTTACCCCCGATCTGGCTCGCGACCTGGCCAACGACATCATGACACTGGTGAGCCACAAAGATCACAACGCACGACGTCGTTTTTTTTTTTTCGTCTTCATTCTGTTCTGTTGCACTTTTCAGTGCTATTTCATTTGCATATGTAAGATGAAGCGAAACACACTGCTCTCTGTTGATTGGTCGAGAATTGTCACTTGCATGTGACAATTGAAGATATAAGATAAAGCGTTAAAATGATGTTTAGGAGTTCTGCAATTTACCGCAACATGTTGTCTTTTTATTTCTTTTGTGCAAGGTGGCACATAATTACCAGGCAAGGACCAATCATCTTGTGCGTGCTCGTCTGTGTTGTATTCATCTTGTACATATGTCATACCTTAATATACTCTTTCCGTAGCCGGCGTATCGACCGCCATCTACTGACACACCCCTACAGTGGAAGTGTGACTTATTTTGGTCGTCATTTCCTCCGCTCTAGATGTCTCATACGAAACCCTACATCAGGAAGAAAGCAGTGCTGATCATGTACAAGGTGTTTCTCAAGTACCCGGAGTCCCTCCGTCCTGCTTTCCCCAGGCTCAAGGAGAAACTTGAAGACCCAGATCCAGGTACCACTATATTCTAGCTTCTCCGGTTGTCATGAAGAGCCCTAGAGAAAGTCATTACATAGCGTTAAATCTTTTGTGGCGGCCATAACAGCGATTTAAAGGAGGGTCTATCACTGATTCTAGGCGTGCAGTCGGCCGCGGTCAACGTGATCTGTGAGCTGGCGCGTAGGAATCCCAAAAACTACCTTTCTCTGGCACCGCTCTTCTTCAAGCTCATGACCTCCTCCACTAACAACTGGGTCCTTATTAAGATTATTAAATTGGTGAGTCAACAGGACGCAGATCTCCGAACACACACACACACACACAATCCACTGACTGCCCTGAAACTCGTGCTACATAACATCTGGGCTGACAACTTTGACCATTGTGACCTACTCCTGTTGCTCCTCTTGCTGCCTTTGCCATACACAGCACTTTTTACATCTGTATGTGTGACTCTGATTGGCTCTGCGTTTACAGTTCGGTGCGCTCACTCCTCTGGAGCCCCGCTTGGGAAAAAAGCTGATTGAACCTCTCACAAACCTAATTCACAGGTGAGATCAACCCAAATGCTCCCCTCGATTGTAACGTAGCCTAAAATGGTCACTCGCATATTTATAATCTGTGCTCTTCTTCGAATTTGCAGTACATCTGCCATGTCTTTGCTGTACGAGTGTGTGAACACAGTTATTGCAGGTCAGTACTTATAATGCATATATAAAACAGAAGGCTCTTGTTTGACGCTCGAAATCACTTTTGTTTATTAATTAAAATGTACCTTACCCCAATTTAAATGCCATTGATTTTCAATTAAAAAAGGCCATTACGCATCCACTGACTGCCCTGAAACTCGTGCTACATAACATCTGGGCTGACAACTTTGACCATTGTGACCTACTCCTGTTGCTCCTCTTGCTGCCTTTGCCATACACAGCACTTTTTACATCTGTATGTGTGACTCTGATTGGCTCTGCGTTTACAGTTCGGTGCGCTCACTCCTCTGGAGCCCCGCTTGGGAAAAAAGCTGATTGAACCTCTCACAAACCTAATTCACAGGTGAGATCAACCCAAATGCTCCCCTCGATTGTAACGTAGCCTAAAATGGTCACTCGCATATTTATAATCTGTGCTCTTCTTCGAATTTGCAGTACATCTGCCATGTCTTTGCTGTACGAGTGTGTGAACACAGTTATTGCAGGTCAGTACTTATAATGCATATATAAAACAGAAGGCTCTTGTTTGACGCTCGAAATCACTTTTGTTTATTAATTAAAATGTACCTTACCCCAATTTAAATGCCATTGATTTTCAATTAAAAAAGGCCATTACGCCTTACTTTCACAGTCTTAACGTATCCAGAAAGTCTGATTGCCGCTCCGTTTTGTTTTGCAGTGTTAATTTCCTTGTCCTCTGGAATGCCCAACCACAGTGCTAGTATCCAGGTACGCTTCTTAGGTCCACTGCCTTCGCACTTGTCACGTGCTCCCTTTCCAGTCCAGTTTATGCACAGTGCATGATTTGACTGTTTTTTCCCCTCCTCCCCCTCCTTCCTCAGTCACAACAGTTTTTAAGTCAACTCACATTTATCTGTTCACTATTCGGTTTGTCCTGTTATTGTTTACCTTGAAAGTGTCTGTTTATCATTGCGTCTCTATTTTGGCATCACACTTTCTCTCTGTCTTCCAGCTCTGTGTACAGAAACTGCGAATCCTGATTGAAGACTCTGACCAGAACTGTGAGCCCTCTGTCAATGCCTGCAGTGTGTCATTTTCTCATTGTCTGCGTGTTTCTCACTCCACAAGTCCAGCCCCCCCGGCCCTTTTTAGAGGATTCCACAGAGCCTCCACCCGAGTCTCGATAACTCGAACTGCATCACCTTTTTTTACTCGTATTGATTTGAATCGCATTCACCCTGCAGAAAAGGGGCTTGTTGACATTCATCATAGGACGACATGTACTCCTTTCCTCACATTGCGGAACCATTCGAGTTATCTGGACCGACCCCCACTTAGAGATAGTTGTGTCTAGAGTAGATTGTTAACTGATGGTGTGGGCTGCACTGGGTGATCCTCACAAACCGCTGAGTTGTCTTCAAAAAGAACCTCTTCTTTGTGGTACTCAACAGTCTTACCATTTACACCTCCAATTTGTTGCTTTTTGTACCATATTTCCTCAAATACGTGTCCTCTAATTTGGACCAGTATGGATGCGCCGTGTTAATGCAAGTTAATTGCCTCCTTCATATTCACGTCCACAGTTAACTTTTGAGTCGGTTTGAACTCAGTTGCTCACCAAAACTGAAGACGGTAATTTGTCCACACATATGAATGTGACTGTCAATCCTTGTTTATTTATGGTGACCAGTCCAGCATGTAGCCTACCTCACTCAAACTCAGCTGGTACAGGCTCCACCTCACCCGTAACATGTATGATAAGCGCTGTAGAAAATAAATGAATGGCCCATTTTAATATTTTCCCAACAATAAATTTGAATAAATTCAGACCTCACCTCACCCCATCCCATCTCTGGCCGCTATTTGCGGGAATATGGTACATCAGAAAACTCATTTCAGAGGGTGTAATTCCTGGGATCAAATATCCAATCAGTCCAACCCGAAACTCCTGGTGTGAATAGAGTAGATTGTGAAACTGTGCTTGAAGATGTTTATTTATCTGTGCCTTGGAATTACCGCTAAAGATTCAAAGCTAAAAACTAGATAAAAGAGTGACCTATTTCCGCAGTTAAAAGAATACAGTGAATGAGAATAGACGCAGAATTGAATTGGTTGGGAATCGCTGGTCTTGAGAGTTTGTGGTAAAGTTGTGTCTTCTCCCAATTTAAACTGAATTACACAAAGCTTTTTGTCACTGTTTTCGCCATCTCTTTCACAGTCCAAGGTACTTTTGACGTGGTCGGAGTCATATGCAGCCGCACGGAGGCCGCACTCATCATGGCTGTAATGTATTCACTGCAGCCAAAATTACCGCCACGCTTATTGATTAGAATGTGAGAGGCCTTTGTCTCTGCTAGTGAGAACACCACAATTTCGTGACTCGGCAGGTTTCACATGGCCAAATGTGTGTTTTGTCTTGCATGTGTATACGTGTTTGTGCGTCCTTTCCATTGATCTTTGTGTTTTAATAATCTTTTCCTTCGGGATATTAAGATATAACTATCACATAGATAACTATAGCTACAGCTAACCGTATTACCGGTCGATAATATGAATGCGATCTTAGCATTGAAATAACTCAGGCATCGATAGTGGTACATTTCGAAACAGGGTATGGCAGTATTCTGTCTACTCAGTTGACTCAGCAAGTGTTTATGTGCGAATATGTTCTTTCAGTGAAATATCTGGGCCTTTTGGCCATGTCCAAAATCCTGAAGACCCACCCTAAGTCTGTGCAGAGCCACAAGGACCTCATCCTGCAGTGTCTGGATGACAAGGATGAGTCCATCCGTCTCAGAGCTTTGGATCTACTCTACGGCATGGTATGTGCTCCTTTTTCAATACAGCGGTACATCGATTTAGAAGTTTTAATTTGTTCCTTGACCACGACCATAACTCAAATCATCTCAAGGCATTGAATGGAATGGAGATGCTCTCGATCCATTTCATTCCCATATCGCATTCTCTCTGGTGTGTGCTACCAATGTACTCAAAGATGCTCAGTAAGCCGCAGTAACATTAATTGTCTTTCATAATGGAACATAAATGTGTGCCTCTGAGTATTGTTTTGGTCTGTCTACATGTGTTACTTCACTGTTTGTCCACTTATTCATTACTTAAAGGGTGAGAAAATCTTCATCGCAAATAAATTCAGGAGAGGTTAGTTAGTATGTGATGACGCATTCTGACTCGAATGGTAACATTTCGGTTCAACGTTCATTTTCAGCGGCCAATTCACTACTTGATTCGTCATAGCGACGATTCGGGCACAGCCTACTACTCTGTATTCCTTTGCAGGTCTCCAAAAAGAACTTGATGGAAATTGTGAAGAAACTGATGCTACATGTGGATAAAGCGGAGGGAACCACATACAGGGATGAACTGCTCACCAAGATCATTGACATTTGTAGCCAGAGCAACTACCAGTACATCACCAACTTTGAGTGGTTCGTCTCCCTCAACGCAGTCGCCTACACAATCTATTTTTGACACGATTTCGAGCCGTATTTTTCTCCCATGCGCCCTTGACAGGTACATCAGTATCCTTGTGGAGCTGACCCGATTAGAGGGCACCAGGCACGGTCACCTCATCGCCTCTCAGATGCTGGATGTCGCTATCCGGGTTAAGGCCATCCGGGTGTTCGCCGTGGCCCAGATGGCCACGCTGCTGGACAACGCTCACCTTTTGACCGGGAACATGCAGAGAAACGGCATATGTGAAGTTTTGTACGCAGCAGCCTGGATCTGCGGCGAGTTCTCGGAGTATGTCGCGTTCTCTTTTGTCATGCCTTGAAGTTAAAAATCACGTTTCACACACTGCCGCATGGTGTTATGTTTGTTTTTGGAACACGTAAATGTAACCCTGGATTACACAAAGTCTTAGAGCCACACTAAAAAGAAAAAAAATCTAATATTCTTATGTGACAAATTTAGAATATAAACAGTAACTTGAGTCATCATCTTTAGACACCTGGAGAACCCGTTGCAGACGCTAGAGGCCATGCTGCGGCCGAAGGTGGCTACTTTGCCGGGCCACATCCAGGCCGTGTACGTGCAGAACGCCGCCAAGTTGTTCGCCACTGTGCTACAGAGCCAAAAGGACAACACAGATGGCACAACTGCACAAGAAACCAGCCAGCTAATGATAGACCGCCTGCCGCTTTTTGTCCAGAGCGCCAACCTGGAAGTGCAGGAAAGGGTAAAATGACTGTGGAAATGTCTCTCAAATCGAAAGTTCTTCTTATAGCGACCTGTTGATGACGATTCCGATTCAAAAAAACAAACCAAAAATGGTTCTCCTATGCTAACTACACTCCACAGGCATCTTGCATCCTGCAACTGGTAAAGTACATCCAGAAACTGCAGCAGAAGGAAGTCGAGGTAGCGGAGGAAGTCATTGCACTGTTTGCCGGAGAACTCAATCCTGTAGCTCCCAAGGCACAAAAGAAAGTGCCTATCCCTGAAGGGTGAGTATCAGAGCATTTTCACACGAGGACTAGTCCATTTCAGCTGTGCTTGAGCCAACTCGACTCCAAACGTCCAGTACCTTTTACTAGTGTGAGTGCTCAGATGCATACTCAGGATATAATTGTAGTAAGTGTCGTGAGTGACCCTGAAGTTGTGTATCTGATTTAATGTTGTGTTTTGTGCATAGTTTATGAATCGTACTATGTCACAGTATATCGTTTTTAATTTTTATTTTTAGTATAGGATCAATGTGTAGAGACATGAATCATCAAAAAACATGAAGCGCTGCTTGCGCCATATTTAGCTGAAATGGCAAAGCTTTTTTCTCCATGATTGGTGGACAAAAACAAGGGCAGATTTATTGTTTTTATTTATTCGTTTAGTCTGGATCTTGATGCCTGGATCAATGAGCCTCCATCTGAGAGCGAGTCCGAGGACGAGCAGCCCAAAGCTATTTTTACAAAGGAGGAGCCCAAACATTCCCGGCCCAGACACACAGAGGTGGACGAGAAGGAGCTGGCGAGGGTGCGACCATCAACTATTCAATAAGCACCTTCATTCGATAGATCTTTCACCACCAATAAAATAACCAAAGTACATGTGACTTTTTTTTCTTTTTTTTTACCTGCACAGAGAAGAGAAGCCAGGAAACAAGAGCAAGCCAACAACCCATTTTACATCAAGGCCTCGCCATCCTCGCAAAAGGTCTTTTTTTTTCCTCCCCAGTCATTTTGTTTCTTCAGTATCTCTTTGTATCAGTTGACTTATTAGATTATGTGTCTGTCTACAAGTAGATAAAATAGATTAATAGGTATCACAAAGTTATCTTTTTTACTAACAGGTGTACCAGGACACCCCTGGAGTGGAGCACATCCCAGTTGTTCAGATTGATCTGAGTGTGCCTCTTAAAGTACCAGGTAGGACGTCCTATATTCATCATCAAAACAAAAAAGGGGCACTTTGATTGAAAAATAAGTTTATTGCAAGAAACACACTGCACTTGTGTATGAACTTTTCATGAACGTTGAAGTGTGTGCGTGCATGCGCGTGTTGGTCAAGGATGACGATGGACTTTTGTCATCTTTTTGATTTGAAAAAGGTCTGCAGTGTTAGCTGCCGGTATTTATCCATGTTCTCACCACCACACTGCTTTTGCACACCACCTTGCCACGTTGGATCGCCGTGCTGGATACTCACCCACTCACACAGTGATTTATCATACTGAAATTGTACCCGAGCCTTGATACTTGCTGAGGAGCTGCGCGAAGCCCTTTATTATTATTTTTTTTTAAATAAAATGTTACGTTTTGGCACAAGAATAAGTTAAAAGCCACACATACATCTCATTCACATTTTATCTTTTTTATTTTATTTTTTATTTTAAAAAAATAAATAAAACTAATTCTAAAACTAATCAAAACGTTTGAAAAAATTTAAGCCGAAAAAACTGCTTTAAATCGATCAATTATAGCCCCGATGGGGACATACTTTCAATTATGAAAAAAATAAATCTATTATCCTGACATATAAATTCATCATGTCATCCCAGCACTACCTTCCTCCAATGATCAGAAGCTTGATATAATCTGCAAATGAATCCTTTTTTTCTTCCCCATTTGTATTTGAGGATGAAATAATGTCTTTCAAATCCTCCTCCTCGCTTCAGGCCTGCCTATGTCCGACCAGTACGTAAAGCTGGAGGAGGAGCGTCGGCAGAAGGAGAGAGCCGACAAGAAAAAAAAGGAGAAAAAGAAAAAGAAAGAAAAGCGCAGTGGACGGGGAAAGAAACACGACTCTGGTCCGGAGAGCGAGGAAGACATTACGCCGGCGCACATGGTCGACATCGTCACAGAGGAGATGCCAGAGGTGACAGTGTCACTATTTGATTTTGAGCTGGGGGTCTTAGGCTTCAAACATTCCAACGGGTGGCGATGTCGGGCTTTTTCACAAAATTCAGATTCTCACATTTTAATTTTTTTCACTCATCAAAATCACCAAATATCTTCAATCATAAGGAATTTATCTCCTGTACTTGGTGCATTCATAGTTCTACAGCAAAAAAAAAAAAAAGCCCCTGGAACAAAATATTCATTTAGGGCATAAATACAAATGTGCAAAGTACAGCGAGCCATTAAGCATTATAGAGTGCCTACTAGTGCGGCAATACTGATGAATAACAACTTGTTAGCCAAATGTCATCGTTACCGAAGTCAAATTGGAATGTTTTGGAAATTTATTTTTTATTTATTGTTTTTAATCAAGCACCTATTGTTTTTATTGGTATTGTAAGGGTAAGTTGAAAAAAAAATTACATAAAAGGAAGAGTATGAAAAGTAGATCACAAATAATAGTTGGTTTTGTTTTTTGGGGGGTTTTTTTTGCTGAGAATTTTCAGTTTCGTCAAAATATTAAGACTTAAGACGAGTCTTAATCTTTGCTCGGAAGCACCTACCTCAGGTCAAAGGTTTCCAACATGTTAATGAATCAGTAGTGCTTTCGCAACATATAAATGGAAACTGAAAAACCTGCTTTAAAAACAAATTAAAACTAACTGGGCAATGTTTGGTGTGATTTCTTCTGTGATCAATTGTACATTCATGTTGTCTCTTTCTTTGCTGTAGAGTGATTAGTCGCTTTTTGAAAAGAAAAAAAAAGAGTAAAGTGGTCAGAAAAGTCACTAAATATAGTGACCAAATTGGCTCACTGGGTGACTGTCGTAACCTGGGAACTCACTGTGCATTTACAACCTGCATCATTTATAAGACAGAGCGGAAAATTCTCAGTCATCAACTGAATCCTTCTTGTATTGATTGATCTCCCTCCAGAATGCCTTACCTAGTGATGAGGATGACAAAGATCCTAATGACCCTCACAAAGCCCTGGACATCGACCTGGACAAGTGAGTCAACATTTGCTGAGGCAAAAGATAGCTTAACTTAAATAATATCTTCAATTGAAGATGAATCTGTTCTAATAAATCCATTTTAGTGTGTCTTGGGCATTCCCGGTCACAGCTTCACCGCCGATGTGACGTGCGTGGCCTTTTTGCCCCGCCTTCCTCCCTCTTGACTTTTTGCTTCCTCTCTTCTATGCACACACACACCCCATTACTGCCCACTTTGCACGGGCAGCTTGGTGGAAATGGCGGGGCGCAGGTGAGTAGCACCTCCAGCCATGTGACCTGCTGCTCCAAAATGCATCTTCTATCCCATTTGCTGTGTTTCCAATTAGCTGGCTTGCTAACATTGCTTCTCTAACTGATTTTTAGTGCTCAGCATTTTTTTTCCTTTTCTGTATTGACTGAATGTAACATTTGACTCGGTATTGATATTCAAAGTGCCCTTCTCAAGCCTGGTAAAATCAGCATCATTCCCTGAATGACTTCTTTGAGTTTTCCCACAATAGTGACTTTTGAGAAAATTCCCCTTAAACAGCTGCCGCTATTGTGAAAGCGCTACATAAATCAGCATGTATTGTATTGTATTGTATTAAAATAAGAAACACTGCACGTTGAATTACTAATAGGGTGCTGCTGACGTTCTCAGGCTTTGGTTCCCTTGTAGTAGTATCTAAAATAATCTGCCTGATTGGGCTTGTAGGAAACTGCCCTGGTTTCTCAAATGCCGCTCAATAGATTATGAATGCTGCCAAACTCTTACGAGTCCAATGAGTGAGCGCTGCGTTGGCGGAGATAACAAGTAGTGCATGCGCATTTTCACGAGTGATAGTTCAAGCTGTAGCTGGGCTGTCTTCAATGGACTTTGAGCTGAAAGAAAAATCCACTTCTGATACATATGAAAAGAGTTGTATAAACTTAGTTAACGTCAGGCCTAGGCCAGAACAATCGGTTTGCATTATGTCTATTAAATATGGTCGTTGCACTTCTGGATTGTGTTTTTGCGTTGTAATGTATTCAATTGTCTTATCCAGGCCTCTTGCAGACAGCGAGAAGCTACCAGTCAGGTCTCACCGTCCAACAGAAGTTCAGAAAAGCCCAGACGGAGATGCCGTAAGCACCTTGCAGGAAGCCAAGAGGAGCATCAAAGAGAAGAAGGAGAAGAAGAAAGACAAAGAGAGGGACAGGAAGGTAAGGTTCGCTTTTAAATGTCACCTTCTTTCAAACAGGATAAGCGCACGATATGCCTCGAGCATGACTAAGACATCACATTTAAAAGTTTTCAATGATTCATATCTTTCATTTGCATTTGGCAGAAGAGCAAAGAAGAGAAGAAGAAGAAAAAACACAAACATGAAGAAAAGGGGGTGGATCTACTCGGGCATCAGTCAGACGAGCCCATCGTCCAATCTGAAGGACCCAGTGAGATGGTGGCCCCTCCTACTTCCACAACTCCTGAGGTATGACGTTTTGAGAAACACAGCGGGTAGCAACCGTGTGTTTTATTTTACATTTTTCTGAAGCATTCCGTAAGTATTGTGGGGCCCCTTGAAAGGCTTTATAAGCTGTTATTTCGGAATCGGAGTGATTATTCACAATAATGTCAAATTACAGGGAGCTCAGAAATTCAAGAGTGTGGTTTCCTTTGCGTGTAGGCAAATCATTGGATTAATAAAGACAAAGAATAGAGTATCCTTTGATGTATCCTATGTGATGATCAATGGTAGTAAGCTACAGAGCGTTTGGCCCTCCCCGCTCTCAACTCCTCGCCCTCCTGTCCCTCCTCTCCCTCCCTTGCTCTTCTAGGTTTCAGATCTGGATTTCTGGCTCTCAAAGGCTCCAGTGCCCTCTTACGCCCAGGTTGAGTCGCACCCCTCTTGTCTCCCCCCCCTCATCGCTTAGTTGTACTCATCCACCCTTCTCATAATTCCATTTTTTTTTTTTTTTTTTTTAAACCCCCTGATAAACCA